ATCCAAAGTTTTTAAATAAGACATTTGAATTATCCAACTGTCTGTCTACCTTAAGTACTGGGTCCCCTGTTCTGAGCACTGACACGGCCGATGGTTTTATGAGTGCTAGACTCCACCGCAGAAGAAAACCGGATTGAAATCCTCCTAAAGTTTGAGGCAGAACTATTTGATTCATTGAGAACAATATAAACAGTAAATACTTTGGGTATAATTGCACCCAATATGTCTGGATGACGAATGGTATTGCTGACCTTGTATGCAAGATAAATTGTGAATTCACCAACTCACAAAATGCAGAAATGTTTCAAACCAATGAGGTGTAGTATTGCGTATGAATCGTAGGTGGCTGAAGCAAAAACCAACATGGTTGTGCTAGTGTTAGCTGAAATACACTATTTCTTTTTTTAATTAGCCAAAGGAAGCAACTTGGGCCTTTGTGGAAAAAGATAATTAAGCGTTCCACCCAACCGGATGAGTTACATTTATCAGTTAACTCTGCTGGTTGTGAAACAGATCAAGTATTTGATTTGTCACAGCTTGTACTGCTGCTCTGATTGGCTAAAAGCTTCACATGGGAGGTATGTGTCACTTGGTGTTATAACCAATCAGATCGAACAATAGCACTGAAAGGCCCTCCCTTTTATGAAGACTTTCCACAGGAGCCTTTCCAGATGGATACCCTATAGAACTCAAATGGATCTACACCTATCAATCTGGCTTATGCCAGGTTATGGCATTGTACATAAACTCCCAAATCGGCACAGAGTAAAGTTTGTAGGTGGTAACATAATGAGGGATTTTAACGAAAATAATTATCCCCCACATGGGAAGAAAGCTCTCAGTGAGTATTAGAGAAGGAAAAAATAAGGAGCAGGCAATTAATAAATTCAAATCTAATTGAAAAACGCTGTGAAAAAACTGACATTTTTAAGAGTTGGAGAAAGTCAATCTGGAGGAATTGGTCAAAATCACCCCTGCTCAATGCATGAGAATGGTTATATGGGCGACAGTGGCGTTGGATGTAGGAGTTTGCCCTGTAATCGAAGGGTTGACGGTTCAAGCCCCGACTCCGACTTTCATTGTCGTTGTGTCCTTGGGCAAGACACTTCACCCGCATTGTCTACTGATGGTGGTCAGAGGGCCCGGTGGTGCCAGTGTACGGCAGCCTCGCTTCTGTCAGTGAGCCCCAGGGCAGCTGTGGCTACAATGTAGCTTGCCACCATCAGTGTGTGAGTGTGTGTGTGAATGGGTGAATGAATGTAGTGTAAAGCGCTTTGGTCAAGTCTCCTAACTTGAATAAAGGCGCTATATAAGTACATGCCATTTACCATTTTAAATGATGCTATATATACAAAAAAAGGCTTTCATATGAAATAGTTCATTCACTTCAGTAATTCCTTACTTATATTTTGATTACTGATCTTATTTATACATGGATCTTATTGGAATTCTAAGGGATTGACTAAGACCTTATGTGTTAATAACCTCAATTAGACATGTGCACTGAGAAAACCCTGTTTAATACTTTTTCCTCTACTTTATTGTTTTTTGTTTTCTTCAAACACAGAGCCCAAATAAGTCAGGCCAGAGAATGAGGGATCTGGGACACCCTGAGGACTGGACAAACATGCCCAATTTGTTTTGTTAGCCGTGTCTCTTAGAGTTTCCCACATCCACAAAGTTTTTCTAAGACATCCCTTCATGCTGTTTATTAGTTCCAGAGAGCCTCGCTAGTGATATGGGAATTTTTGCACCACGAGTGGTGAACTCTAAAGAAAAGCCGTGTGGGCTGAGGACACTGTCAGGTACATAAGGTTATGTGCGTGTGTGTGGATGGGCGTGTGTGTGTCGGTAGGGGTGTGTGTGTGTGGGTGCTGGAGAGAGCAGAGATGATGGCAGCGTTCACGGAGGGGGAAGAAGAAACTGAGTGGGATCGCAGGGAGAGAAACGCTTGGCGGCTCGAGCAAGTGGGAGGACCAGCAAAAGATAATGCTTTTAGACAGCCTGCGAATATCAGCTGAACATCTGATGATGTTTTATTGATTAGTGACAGCGTGTGTTTGTGTAAGACCTTCTGTATTTTCCTTATGGTTGCTTCTATGAGTGTGGATTTAGCAGCATTTTTCCCATGTGAGCATAATAGAAAAACAAGAAAACTCCCCTCTCTCTCTCCAGATGTCAGATCGATGACTTATGTCTGGCTGGAAATGACCTCATTCAGAGAAAAAGCACATTAAGCCATTTAGAACCACGACTGTGTGTAACTCTGAACAATGTGACTTTACACTAGTCAACTAGCCGTGTCCACTTAATAATGCCTGCTTGACGTCCACTCCTCTTATAGTGAATCAGTCAGGATGGTTATTACTGAAGAACACACACTTGCCATGACTACACGCTGAATTTCCTCGTGTCAACAGGCAGCCTGGGGCTATGATGAAATGAAAGGTCCCTGGAGTTACGATAATGGGAACAAGCTTGTTAGGGAGGAAACATTTTCTCTTGGGACAGCCTCCATGTTATGATGGTCAATGTACAGCCTTAAGCTGTGCATCAAACAACTCTGTTAAGTATACAAAGATGTAATAAGTCTATATTGAACATTTCAGATTCTCAAAACACTTCAGGACCTTTTATTTTTCTTTAAGTTTAGATTTAATATATACTGGGAAGTTAAATCCTCTTTTGCAGTAAAATCTAATCTGATTTACTAAAAACGGTGTTGATAGGTGACTGCAAATTGTTAGCTCGTTATATCACTGGAAGACTTTTTCTGCTGCCAAGCTTTTGTAAGAATATCTGACCTTATAAGTTTTTTGTTCGATGTTACATAAAGAATAAACCAACAAGCCTTTGGCTCTGAGTTTTCATTGGTTTTATTTATATTTTGTGTTTTTCTAGTTATTTTTTTAGTTTATTTGAGTTCTTAGGTATTTCTTGTTTGCCCTCTGCTGCCCTCTTGTGTTCGGCTCCTTTCCCCAGCTCCCTTCTAGGCTCCTCTGTTCACACCTGCTCCCAATCTGCAGATTAGCCTGCTCTTTGTTTTTCTCTCCCATATATGCACCTCCTGCTCTGTCACCTTTGCTGGTTTGTCATCATGTCTTTGGCCCCTTGTTGTGAGTATTCCTTGTTTTTAGTATTTTTGGATTTTGTGGATTTATGTTTTGGGATTTTTGCTTCTATTGTCCTTTTTGGTTCATTAAATCTTGCAAGAAACCACCTCAGCTTCAGTCTCTGCATCTGGGTCCTTCAAACCTCCATTCAACCTGACAGACTCTAAATGAAGCTGCCTTATAAAGCAAATAAATTAACAGAAAACACTGAAAATATTTTATTTTCTCTCTATAGTTCCTTTTTAGGCATATAAAAAAATGACAGAGACAAGTCTGAATACCTTTGAAACTAATAGTTCTAAATCTGACTTATTCAAAATTCTGCTTTCCAATCTGAGGATGCATAGAAGTGTGTTCATCACTGCACACTTAAAATGTTATTTTTCCATCAGATTATAACATTTGTACATTGACTTTTACTGGCAATCAAAAACTTCAATGATTATAAGAATGTAGCCTACATATCTGCAGAGAGGAAGGTTTCGGTTTAAGTTTAGCTCATTTATATAGAGCCGATTCACAACATGTCACCTCAAGGCAGTTTACAGAGATAATTCAACCAGATATAGTCACACTGTTTTCAATTTTTCTATTTAAGGAACACCAGTAGATTGCATCAACTCATTGACTGCAAGGCAATCCCTCACACTAAGCATGCTTGTGGCGACGGTGGAAAGGAAAAACTCCCTTTTAACAGGAAGAAACCTCCAGCAGAACCAGGCTCAGTGTGAGCGGCCATCTGCCGAGACCGACTGGGGTTCAAGGAGACAGAAGCAGACATAGAAAAAGAAGCAGATATACAAAGTCCAGGAGACACACTCAGTGTACGTAGGTACAGTGAGGGCCTTTGGATTTTTGTTGGAGAATATCAGTGAACAAACAGCATCATGAAGACCTACTGTGAAACACTGTATCAAGCTAAGAGCATCAATCCATTGTCATTATTAAATAACACATTACATCAACCTTTACTCATCACCCCAGCAGTGACAATCTGTGGTGGCTGCATCATGCTGTGGGCAGGATTTCATTCATCCATCCATTTCTGACATGCTTTAACCCAAGTGGGGTCATCAGTCAGTCAGGAAATAGGAACAGTTCCTGTTCTGATGGAAAAATGAAAATCTAAACATAAAGTCAGAACTTTAAATGATGTCTCTTTGTTCTACACTGTGGTTCATCAGAGGAAATCCAACAAAACAACCTGAGGTTTATGACAACATTTGCCATTTAGGCATCCTGTGGAGGCAGTCCTCTTAAGTTCAGCTGAAGGGCAGTGTTTCACAGGAAGCCTGGACCCAGGCGGACCGGCAGGCCTCTGGACCTGTGGTTCCAACTGAGCGCTCTCTACACTGATAAACATCCTCCAAGCAGAGTCCCAAACAGGGCCGCCCTGTACGCACAACCATTCAAAAAATGCAAAACAAGATCCTCCCTTCTTTGGACACATACACAGAAACCATTCCAGAGATTTCTCCCTGAACAAATGGCTGATTTAGAAAATAGAGATGCTCTGAATTTATTGGAATAAAGCTGCAGCATTTTATAACCTTGCAAAGAAAAAAATGACATTTCTCAGCCTGAAATAGCATATGCTCCAGTGTAACAGAGCCAACACTGGGCCTACATTATTTCCTGCTATTGGCTGGCAGCTAGGCAACACCTCCCAGCGTGCTGCCTCCATCAAATGTCTGCAATATCTGAGCCCCAGTGCCCATTTCTCATTATGAAAACAATCATCTTCCTCTTAGCGCCTCTGTCCAGCTTGCAGTAAACATTTCCTCAGCTGAGATAAATATCAACCCGTTACCTTGTTTTTGTTTCTTTTCTGCTCTGATCCTACATGATCTGCGAAAAGCAATTTGTGACGGAAGCAGCAGCACCGACCTGTAGAGTCCAGAGTCTCTTCTATGAGTGGAGGCAGGCGCAGTCCATCCATATCCCCCCCCCCTCCTCTGCAGAAGGCGAGTGGGCGACAGAGGGTCAGAGGACTCCACCCGCCCACCTCCGCTGCTGCTGCCGCCGCAGGTAGACACGGAAAGTACCGAGCAGCGCGGAGTGGAGTGGCTCACAGGAAAAAACGAGAAAACAAAATAAAAAAATGCGGAGCTGAGCGGAGTTTGTTTCCCCTGGAGGATCTGGGGGGATCCGGGGAGCTGCAGGCTGAGCGCCGGAGCGTGGGAGAGATGCCGAGAGGATAGAGGGGAGGAGCAGGGAGGAGGGAAGGATGCTGCTTAGCCAGACGGCAAGCTCCGTCTCCCTCTGCATGGTCCCTCCCTCCCCTCTCTCCCTCCCTCCCCTCTCCCTCTCTCTTCCTGTCTGCATGCTCTACTCGCTGTTTACTACGTGAGCAGTTTTTACTACTTTTCATCTTTTCCAGTGTTTTCTTTGCTTCTCTTTGTGCGACGGAGTGTTAGGGCCAGACTGGAGATTTTTTTTTCTTCTGTTTTGAGAATGAAGTCGTAAAATTACGAAAATAGTCATAACATCGCGAGGATAAAGTCATAAAATTACGAGAATAAAGTCGTAAAATTACGAAGGTAGTCATAACATCACGAGAATAAAGTCATAAAGTTATGATAATAAAGTCGCAAGAAGAATAGTCATAAAATTACAAGAATAAAGTCATGAGATTCCGATAATAGTCGTAAAATTACGAAAATAGTCGTAACATCGCGAGGATAAAGTCATAAAATTACGAGAAAAAAGTCGTAAAATTACGAAGATAGTCATAACATCACGAGAATAAAGTCATTAAGTTATGATAATAAAGTCGCAACAAGAATAGTCATAAAATTACAAGAATAAAGTCATGAGATTCCGATAATAGTCGTAAAATTACGAAAATAGGCGTAACATCGCGAGGATAAAGTCATAAAGTTACGAGAAAAAAGTCGTAAAATTACGAAAATAGTCATAACATCGCGAGGATAAAGTCATAAAATTACGAGAAAAAAGTCGTAAAATTACGAAGATAGTCATAACATCACGAGAATAAAGTTATAATAATAAAGTCGCAACAAGAATAGTCATAAAATTTCAAGAATAAAGTTATGAGATTCTGATAATAGTCGTAAAATTACGAAAATAGGCGTAACATCGCGAGGATAAAGTCATAAAGTTACGAGAAAAAAGTCGTAAAATTACGAAGATAGTCATAACATCACGAGAGTAAAGTTATGATAATAAAGTCGCAACAAGAATAGTCATAAAATTACAAGAATAAAGTCATAAAATTACGAAAATAGTCATAACATCACGAGAATAAAGTCATAAATTTATGATAATAAAGTCAAAACAAGAATAGTCATAATATTATGAGAATAAAGTCGTAAAATTACGATAATAGTCGTAAAATTACGAGAATGAAGTCTTAAATTAAGAGTATAAAGTCGTAACATTGCGAGATTAAAGTTGTAAAATTTTGATAGTAGTTGAAAATTACGAGAATAAAAATGTAAAATTACGAGAATAAAGTCATAACATTACGATAATACAGTTGTAACATGATAATAAAGTTGTAACATTACGAGATTAAAGTTGTAAAATTATGAGAATAAAGTCGTAATATTATGAGAATAAAGTTGTAACATTACGAGATTACAGTCGCAAAATTCCGAGAATTAAGTCGTAACATTACGATGATAATAAAGTCGTGACATTACGATTAAAGTCGTAAAATTACGAGAATTAAGTCGTAACATTGCGAGACTAAAATCGTAACATTACGAGAATAAAGTCAAACAGTTACAAGAATAAAGTCGTAAAATTACGAAAATAAAATCGCAACAAGAATAGTCGGGAAGAGACAGCCTATGGACAGCGGACCGTTGTGACAGCAAATCCCATAATGATTTGCAATGAGAGATCTCCACACAAAGCATTCTGGGATATATCTGCCTCTTCTAAGGCCTTTCTTTTTTTCTCATACACTTCCTAGACACTTTTTCTCCTACGACTCTCAGCCACTTTCAAAGAACTGTGGTGAGAAAGGTGAGCTTCAATGGCTGTCTGAAACCGTAGCTCACCTCAGATATATGCCTGAAAGTGCGCATGCACAGAAAAAGATAGCTAACGGGACAAGCATGTAGGATGTCCTTATGTAAACATATCACCAGAATGATTGACAACTAGGAGGACAACTGATTTAGATGATCCACCCAGAAATAAAATATTGTCCTCTATACCTGTAAAAGAGACTGCAAATTTTAGTTGTAAAATTTATAGATTAACAATTAAATTGGTACAAGGAACAAATTATGATAAAGATTGCAAAAACAGGAAGTATAAGGATCTCAAAACAAGACCAAACTTTTTAATTGGATCTAAGGTTGTGAGATTCTGTTACATGGACACCATTGATTGTGCAGTCCCTCTGTCAGTTACCTTGCAAGCAAGGTAGGAGATTTGTGAAGTCACAAACGCCTGAAAGTACATCTTGCCAGAAGCGAACAGATGCATTAATCATGACGCAGAAATGTTTCAGATGTTCGACAAAATGCAATGACGTCTATGACGTCCAAGCATCAACCAGAGATTCAAAGCTGAAGCAAAACAAACATAGCTGTGATTGTTTTAGCTAGAGAGAGCCTCTGTTTCTTTTTGAAAAATGATTTGTGCCTTTGCGGATGAGATTTTTTTCCATTTCTCCTGACCTAGTTGTAAAACAAATAAGGCATATAAATCATCACAGTTATTACTGCTGCTGTGTTTGGCTTAGAAGGCAGGTGCCATTTGGGGATTTAACCAATCAACTAAACTTAATCATTTGTTCTGAAATTCTCTTAATTTTTGCAAAGACTTTCAACAGGAGCCTTCCCAGATGGATTCTGTATCAATCTTATTTATACAAGGTAACTCTGTAAGTACTCTGTCAGTATAAAAAATATTTTGGCATTACTCCTCAAAAACTGATCAAATAAGTAAAACTTTCTAAAACTATGTGTATTTGCCCTCAAACTGAGCAGGTCAATAAGATGATATGCCAAAGGAATTTATATGTTTGCCCTCAAAGTAAGATAATATCATATTATCCAATTGACATTAGAGAATGGAGTTGTTTTTTTATATTTTAAAGGCAATTCACCATATAACATTCGTAAATTGTCTTATCTACCTGCTCAAATCAATGGAAATATGCCTTTTTCAAGAAAAATGTACTTTAATTTCCTTTTTTGTAGTGTATGCTTTCAGTATAGGGACTGAAATATCAGGACAATCTGCAAGAACAGGTGAGGCTGTATGAGGATCTGCTCTGTCCTCATATCCGGGTCGTATCGGATTAATACCCTTAAAGGCTTTTCCTGCTTATCTGTGACGGGTCCAAAAAAAACTGAATGTCCTCCTTAACTAATCCACATTATTGACATTTCCTATAAACTGCTTCAAACTAAAGACTTTTATTGGACTTTTCTTGCTTTTCAGTCTCTTTACCTCTGAGCACTTACTGTATTTCTACAAGCACAAGGTTGGTTTACTATGCTGGTAAATATCTGCAGGTGTGATAGCAGACAGAGCAGCAGGTGAGACAGCGAGCCGTTGGGCATGATCTGTGTACACGAGACAAGAGAAGGAGAGACACTATGCTGCTCTGCTTACAGACATAGATAGAGACTCTCTCTATATCTGAATAAAAAATATTTGTGAATCATAAAGTAGTTCCACTCTTATCTTTTTTAAAATGCTCTAATTTCCTTCTGTAAGAGAACCAAAGCACCAGGCTACACTCTGAAGTAATCTAAGGCAGGGCAGAGTTTCCTTGCTTCAAATGATTAACTAAGCACTGATTCAAATGTGATAATTTGTTTATCATTAGTCTACAATGAACCATCAGTCAGTCCTTCACCAGTTTCTCATTAGTTTCTTAATAGCAAAACATTTTATGGCCCCTTTTATGAATTTTCCACAGTCCATCTTTGGATAAGGTTCTACACATTAACCATCCAAGTGGCGGCTAATGCAATGAGTGTGTTCGGCGTCATACAGTTTGGTCTATGTGCACACCCAAGTTTAAAAATTGAGGGTGTCTCAATTTTTAAACTTGGTTGAAATACTTTTTTTTCATTTGGTCCTGAAGGTATGTGGGTTTTTTTTTATCTGATTGGGAAGAAATCCTGGACAACAGAGGTCTACAAAGCTCAATACATACGGCTGGTTTTAAATCGGCACCATGGGAGCACTTTTCTGCAATCTCAACTTTGAGCATTGTAGACTGAAACAGTCTGGGGACTGTCATCTGGTCGTGGCTTTGTCTGCTTCTGATGCACGCAACTTTGCAGGAGGATGTCTCTATGGATATTTTTGTTCGATTTATCTCAGTTTCACTGTTATCTTATTAAACCCAACAGCAACCTCATGGTGTTGCAGCACTAGCCACACCCATTTCCAACTATTGTCAAGTCCTATTGTCCTATTGTCAAAATCTGCAGAAGAACTTCCCTATTACAGGTAAGTTGTTCTTTTTAAATGAAGTTTTACTTAATGCACAAATATTTAAGATTAGTCTGAAGGTTTAAGTTAAATTTGAGCAAAATACAACAATATATTACAATAACTAAACACATTTAGGCGAGCAGAAACAAAGCAAGAACTTTCCAGTGTTTTATGTTTTTTATCCAGCAAGCTGTTTGCAGACTAACATTCATAAATGCAATCTTGACGAGTATCTCTGCAATTCAACAGACGTGCAGAAATGTGTGCAAGGATCACCATAGAATGTTGTGCACAATCTGAAATGTTGGTGAACTAAGTTTATACTCTGCTAAAGAGGCATGATGGAGTTTTTTAATGATCCTGCCACCTGTTAGCCTCGTGAGACCATCCTGATCTCGCGAGCTTTCAAGATTTCACTCGCAGGTCAGTCTGGCTACTTTCCGTTAAAGAAAATTTGGAGCCGTTCACCAAACGAACGTCCAATCAGCGTTGGCTTTGAGGAGGGTTGAGGTGTGATGCAACGAGAAGCGCGACAGTTCAGTCTAAAGAACATGGCGGCTTCAGCCGATGAAACTAGCATTAGCGTGGCTATCGAGCAAGTTTTATCGGAATTACAGAGTATTTCTTCACTGAAAGAAGAGCAAAACACTGCTCTGGAGGCTTTTCTCAGAGGAAAAGATGTTTTTGCTCTTCTCCCGGCTGGTTTTGGCAAGAGTTTGATCTGTCAATTGGCTTGTGCCTGACTTGTGGTTGTGTTTTCGTCGTCGCTCTGTTAGTACGTCATATGCTTTGTTGATCTCATTGGTTTATTTGGCCCGTCTATCACC